AACTAAGATACCTGATTAAACAGTTAACATCATGTTGAGATTCTTTTCTTTCCTCGTCTCTCACTTCTTATTTTAGATTTCTCCTTTATTACATTTTGGGTTTAAACATTTTCTTGATTAACTTCTGCTCAACTTCATCCCTTAAATTCGTTCATGTTGTTGCACAATTAACTCGCTTGTTTACCTGCGTCACATCAAATGTTAATTAAGAATATTAAGATAAACTAACGCAAGGTAATTCCCAGATGAAAACATTTCAAGAACATTTCTTTGAATGAACATCGTCGTCGTCATTCTCAACAACCAACGAACACTAACTTTAAAAGTAGATAATTAATGAATTTTATTCAAGAATATGCCCAATTCTCTTAACGGAACACTAATAATAATCACCATAAATAATTTCTAATAAGACTGAAAACGTTTTATTCTAGGTAAGTGCTTCTCTTAAAAGGTTGTAAATGTGTTTATAAAAAAAGTAATTCATGCGGTTAGGAAGTAAACCTCAAGTGGCTGTTCCTTGACCTGCACTAAGAATTTGTCATGCGTCAATATTGGAATTTCCGTGCCTCGCTTCTCCGTTTCTTTACAAGGTTGCGTAAGAAAATCAACAGTTAGAGTTTGTGATTTACCTGCGCTTATTTGCCAAAAGAAGTGATGTCAATCAGCAGATTCACTAAAGCAAATAAACGATTTTTTATTAAATATTTTTAAATAGCTTCACGTTTGTACCTTTCCATGTGTTGAGAAAATATTTTAGAAACAAAACAAATCGTAAATCGTCTTTATTCACTTTCTTGTGAAATTAAATGAGCATCGATGTCTTCAAATAGGAACGTGTAAACATTGAAATCCGCGGTTATTCTCTCAATGGAACCAGTTTCTTTATGAAAAATACGAGTTCATACGAACATTCAACAAGACAGGTTTGAATGAGTGGAATGTTTAGATTTTTAATTCAGTCTCCGGCTTTTTGCACAATCGACAAGACTTAAAGACGTGATGATGTGCTTTTTGTCCGAAAGATTGCAGGTGAGTCATTATTGTCAACATTAAACACATCACAGAAATATTCATGAATAAATAATAAAATAGAAAGAAAAAAGTTCACATCATGAATTATAAATCGTCAATTAATTTCAGCGAATGCTGGTTGAAGCTGTCGACAATAAGAATGAATACCAATTCAACTATTTCCTGACAGTTTTAAATTTAAACCCGGATTTAAAGCTCAAATGTTTTGGAAATTTATCAACTTTCGAAAAAGTTCTTCTTTCGCCAAATTCACGAAAGTTCATTGAACTTTGTATTCAGAATGGCTCGGACATTTATCAGGTAAATTATGCAAAAGAGATAAAAATTAAATGGTGATTGATGCTTACACATCTTTCTAGAAAAATTCTGATGAAATTTATCCTCTTGACTTTGCGGTAAGGTCATTGAGTGTTGAGAATCTTCAATCTATTATGAAAGACAGCCAAACTATTGCCATTGTACAACAAAACGAATTGAACGATCACAAATATTCAACCATCATAAATGCCAAGGTCGATCATGGAAACAACTATCTTCACTTTCTCATTAATCAGTTATCAGGGACAAATTATGAAGAAATAAGTGAAATGATCAAAATACTGTTATTAAATGGTTGCAACCCAAACCTGATGAATGACAACCAAGAAACGCCATTTTATTTACTTTTGAAGAAATTGCAAGCCATGAATGTTCAAAGTGATTTGATTGAGTTTTTTTGTGACCATTCATGTGTTAATTTTAACACCACTAAAAGCAATGAAATCATCCGCATAATGGATGAGCGAGGATTACTGCACAAAGTGAATTCAAGAAAAGAATCTCAACATGATGTTAACTGTTTAATCAGGTATCTTAGTTTTGAGAATGAAAAACAATTTGAGAACCGGATTGAAAGTTTCAAAAATCATTCGAACGACCTTTCGAAAGATTTCGCAATTCTTTTAGAAGAAGCAATTGTGAGAAATTTGCATGAAATTGTCAAAATTCTTCTTAAACATGGAGCAGACGTCAACCAATTTTCTATTGAAAGTAAATATAAAATGCCACCAGCATATGTTGCATCATCACTTGGACATCATAAAGTACTTGAAGTTTTGATCAACGACACCAACTTACAATTCAAAACAAGCAAACGAAAGCAAAATTTGCTTCATCAAGTTTTGAATGCGAAAAATGTTCATGCAAATGATCAACAAAATTGCTTTGATCTCCTGATTGCTGATCAAAGATGCACATTCGAAATTATTAACAGTTTGGATGATGCTAATCATTGCCCATTATATTATGCATGTGAGTTGGGAAACAATGAAATTATTAAAGAACTTTTAAGACGTGGTGCATACATTGGAAACAAAATGATTGTCGACAACATAAATAGCGATGTTATGAGTGAATTTCTCGACGAATGCATCAAATGTTCGAAAGACTTAAAAGACAAAAGCTGTGATGTTCACATTAATTACAATTTTCTCAACTCACATAACACGACAACAAGTGAAATGCATCCAGTGAAATTAATTGCTGAGAATTCACATTTAGAAGATTTGATACTTCATCCAATTATTTCAACATTTCTTGCACTTAAATGGCGTAAAATTGATATAATCGTTTACTTCAACTTGTTGATATATTTTTGCTTCATGATTTTCCTGGGAACTTTCGTCACGAATTATTTCCATGACTCAGTTTATAATAATTATGATGTGGTGGTTGAATTGACGATTGATGAAATTTTCCCAAGCCATTCCAACGTGACGTCATCATCACCTTCTCCAGTACCAGCTGTGCTAGATGATGTCCATTCTCGAATAAATTACAATCCTACAAGTGACGATGAGTATAACGACGAGGATAATGATGGAACATTAAATGACTATGAAGAAGATATGACGGGTAATGATGGAACAATCAATGATAGTCCAGGAATGTTAGGGAAACCAGAAACAACAGGATATAGTGTAGAGCTAACTGAATATTCTGGAGAAGATGAAATGGATTATTCCACGACAGAAGAACCGCCACGACCTTCAACAACAGAAGAATCATTCTTCGGTGACCGTGGATCAATTGATTTACCGAGATTACCACCAATAGCTGATATGCCAATGGGATCATTTGGAATTTCAACTCGTTTGGGATCAAATAATAAAAATGATTACCAGCCTCCAAGGTCAAGACAGCCTCCAAGGTCAAGGCAGCCCTCTAGTGGATCAAAGCATTCTTATAGTGGACCGAAACGAAAATCTCCCCCAAAATCGAAACAAACTGGCAAGGAAAACTCTACCACGACGCTTATTTCATCTCCAATACCTAAGAAAAAAGTCATTGAACAGCCTAATTTACTTGCTTTACTTTTTGGAATTGGATCATCAAATGATAGGAAATCAAGAAGAAAACGATCAGTTGATGGGGATCAAGATGATGAATGGATTGAGCATTTTAAGCATCATTTCGATGAAAATGTAAGATCATATCGAATTTGTGTTGTTGGCGTTTTCTTAATGGCTTTTTATGAAATTGTTCAACTTGTAATGTCTCCGAAATCATATCTCTTCAAATTAAGTAATTGGCTTGACATTGCATTGATTTTCATCTCGTCATTGGTTTTACTTGGAAATTTTCGTATTCAACCGGAAGATTTTAAAAAAGTTCGCTCGATAATGATTTTGTTGATGGCTGCTCAAAGCTTTCAAATTGTTGCTAAAGTCAGTCTATTGTCGATGTCACTTCACATGGCAATCTTTAAAAGAGTTTGCATGACATTTATAAAAACAATTTCATTGTATATGATCATGATTCTTGCTTTTGCTATGAGTTTTTACACTTTAAACAGTGATAGTCATGGTGACAGGAAAGGCAACTTGAAAATCGGCAAGGCAGATGGTGAAGATATGGAAGAGAGTTTTTCTGATCCATTCTTATCTATCATAACAACTGTGCGAATGATGTTATCAGATTTTGAAAATATCAAAATCAAACAAGAAGATCATTTTCTAGGTCTCATGTTTCTATTGTTTGTCACTTTAATTACCGTCGTGCTTTATAATCTTTTGAATGCATTAGCCATTAGCGACACAAATAACATCTTGAAAGATGCCGAACTTGTTGATACAAAGAAAAGAATTTCCATTTTGAGCAGCTATGAGAAATTTTTCTCATATTTTAAACCTAAATTCATGAATATTTTTCCCAAGATGTCATCGATAATAATAACTCCAAACAAAGACAATAGAATTAAAATTAAGAGAAATTTTGTTACCAGTAAGATTACCTCAATTTGGATTCATAAAACTGCATCACCACAAAATTATGATAATGTTTATGAAACAAGCTGGAAGCCCTGGGGGAAAAGGAAAGTTCCAGTGATGCTTGAAGAAAAATATATTAAGAAAATTTTGGATTGCATAAAAACTCAGCATGAACGAATACTTTTCCAAAACGAGAAGAACACAATTGAAGAAAATTTTCTTTCTATTTCTAAAGAGATCTCTTCGTTGAAAAAATCGCAAAGTATTCAAGGTGAAAGCCTCGAAAAGATTCTCAACAGTTTAATGCGACGTGAAAGACTTTTAAAAGACTATAAAGAAGGAAAGGTTCATGCTTTTCAAACCGATGAAATTTTCATGTAAAGTGATTTTTGAGTATTTTAATTTTAATTAAACTTAAGCAATTTTTTTTCCATTACGGAAATTATTTAGAAAGCTCCTTATCGTAAATATTAACTAACATTATTTGTTTATCTTCTTATAATTTTATACTAAACAAAAGAATAAATTCTCTGAACTCCTGAAGAGTTATGAAATGTGTTTTCATTTTTGATTTCATTCATCAACATAAATATATGTTGAGAGAGACACTCACACATACAAAATATTTTCTCATCATTATCCTGTCTACGTCAAGGTCTACGTTTCGACTACGTTTCTTTTTATACAAATTCCTCTCTATTGAAGACGTAATGTAAAACGTATGCTCTCATTTCTCTCTCTGTTTACTCAAAGTAAGATTCGTAGCACATGTCAATGTTTAGTTTACTGTGCGACTTTAACGAGTAAAGACGCGTTTCTTTCATTCTGGAAGATTTTTTTAAAAAATAAGTAAAGAAAGTTCTATATAAAGTGGTCACGAAAAGCAGGAAAAAAATACAGAAATAAAATAATTATTCATTTTTTGTTTTCGGAAAGCAGAACATTTTTCTTATCAGTGGAGTTAAGAGTAAAGTAGCATTTCATAACGCTTTTAATATGATTAAGTTGGTTTAAGAATAATCAGAAAATAAATTGTGTAAAGAACAAAAACCTTGAAGTTTAGCTTGTGAAAGCCTTTGGATTATTTTACAAGAAAGTCAATATCGATCATAATACTCTTCTTGAGGTAAGCTGAATTATTCAGAACGATTATTTAGAAATTTTCTCGTTGTGTATATTTATGTTGACCAATTAACTTGCTCATCGAAATAATTTGATTCGTCGCGTGATGAGAATTTAGTTAAAATGCTTAACACAGCACCACTGAGCCAACAAATTAACCCAGTAAACAGACAATTATCTTCATTTTTGAGCTTCCGTAAAATATTAAAAAGAAGCATCAGATTCGTTTCAAACTCTCTCACAATTATCAAGAAGAAAGTGATACTTTCAAAACATATTAAAAATTATTTATGGTGATTATTATTAGTGTTCCGTTAAGAGAATTGGACAGATTCTTAATTAAAATTCATTAATTATCTACTTTTAAAGTTAGTGTTCGTTGGTTGTTGAGAATGACGACGACGATGTTCATTCAAAGAAATGTTCTTGAAATGTTTTCATCTGGGAATTACCTTGCGTTAGTTTATCTTTATATTCTTAATTAACATTTGATGTGACGCAGGTAAACAAGCGAGTTAATTGTGCAACAACATGAACGAATTTAAGGGATGAAGTTGAGCAGAAGTTAATCAAGAAAATGTTTAAACCCAAAATGTAATAAAGGAGAAATCTAAAATAAGAACTGAGAGACGAGGAAAGAAAAGAAAAAAGTGGATGAGTGAGAGGGAAATAGGGGAAAGAAGCAAACAGAAATGATAAAGAAGACATTTGGGACTGAGAACGCCTCGAAGACATGAAGACATGAAGAAAGAAAGGATCAAAGGAAAAATTTCAACCGTCTTCATTGATCAGCACATTTGACATGTTTACGACACATGAATCTGTTCCTCAACAACCTTCCTCAAAAACACAAAACTAAGAGAAAGATTGGATGAATAAAATCAATAAATAAAACGTTGCAAGCGCCCAAATAACTCAAAATTCGCTTCGAGCGTATCGTGCAGCACGATGTAAAAGAGAAAAGTCTCAAAACTGCTTCCAAACTTTTATTTGCATATTTAGAAGAAACTGAAAGATTTGAGAATTAAGTTGAAAGAGATGAAAAACTTTTTTCTTCGTGAGTTTGAGTGTCGTCGGTAAGTGAAGAAAGTTTCTCATTTCTCGTGGAAATTCATAAAGTTCGAGCGTATTAAAGTTACATGAATAAATCATGAAATAAAATTGAAGAAGAAAAAGAAAATGAAGTCATTAAAATGTAATTAAGACATTCCGATCTAGGGTTGAATTTAATTTTTTCTGTTTATAGAACTTACGGGATCGGATCATGAAAAGGAACCGAAAATATTTTTGGTTTTGAGTTTGTTGCACATGTTGAAGCGATTATAATTATATTTTTGTTTTCTGAACATCTTTGCCGAAAAAATTGAAATTAAACTGAAAGAAAAATTTTCCCTTGATATTTCTGAAAAAACTGAATACAAGAATTTTCTCATAATTTAATTGTGAATGAAACGATGTATTCAGTTTTTTCATCTATGAATAA